ATAGTTCACAGTGACTATTTTCCATTGGATTAAATTATGTTATAAAATTCAGATAATTTCTTCAATAAAGAAATTATCCAGAAAGCTATTTTTATTGACTTTTGGAGGTGTCAGGGACATGGGAGGAGCAATTTGGCACCACTCTGTAAAAACTACATTGTCTCAAATCAAAGGTTAAAATCTTCCTGAAGAAATTATCATTTTACATACTGTTCCACAAGTGTGTNTATATATATATATATATATATATATATATATATATATATATATATATATATTTGATAACATTCACAAATGGAAGTTTCTTTACCAACTCTTATTCTTTTCTCCCAGGAATGCTTTTATCATCAAGGTAGTAGGTTACTGAGAATTTCACACGGTTGCATGAAAAAAATATTGTCTAGATGATGCACTGACAAAGTAATGTGTCTGAGAAAATATAGATGTGGAAAATGACATGTGCTTTTGTCCTCAACGCTATTACCATTTCATATTTAGAAGTTGAACACAATTTTATAATTATGAAATGCTCTAATAATTATTGCATTCATCTGATGCTTTATGGTCCTTTAAAAACATCCAGGGCCAGCCGAGTGGCACGTTGGTTAAGAGCTGGCTTGGAACCCTAGAGGGCCCCAGTTCGGATCCCACATATGAGGGCCAGTGACACTGCCCTCTACAGCTAAGATGCTGAACAGCAGCTCAACTTGGAGCTGGGCTGCTGTGAGTCGCCAGGGATGGCATAGGCTGCAGCCCCTGCTGCAGTGGATTTCCGTGGGCTACTGTGTGTGGCCAGCAGCCAGGAGCTGCCGTGAGCAGCTGTCCAGAGCCGGTGACTGATCTGCCTCGCCCGGGAAGAGTGCAATGATGGTGCCAACTTGGGCCAGAGAAGCAACGTCCTCCACAACTAGACTGAAGAACAAAAGGACAGCAAATTGTCTGTTCCCCTTCCCCCAAATCCCCAATAAAAATCTTAAAAAAAAAATTCCAGGCATGCATTTATTCATTAAACATTTATTCTTTGCTTACTATATACTGAAACTGCATAAAATGTTGGAATCTACTGTTTTTGTTTATTCAACCATGTAATAATTGAAATGACAGCTCAAAACCAAAAACTGATATTATACTTCTCATTTTAGACTCATGCAATACAAATTCTCCAAATAGAACCCAATTTGAATGGAAAAGTTCTAGATGGGCATTAGATCCCAACAGAGGCATGAGTAACGTAACACCACGGTACTATTGTTTTGGGCATCTGAGCAAGAACGGAAACCAGGCTCCTCAAAAAAATCTACACAGAAAGTAAAGTTTACCTTTGACTTTACCCACTTTCCTTTCTCTATACCTCTCCTATGTTTGGCAGTCATTCTTCTCCATTATTTATTGCCTTCATTTATTCTTTCCACTCACTCACCAGCCAATTGTTTTCTCAAACAAGAGTAAGGCACTTTGCCAGTGGAGAACAAAGATATGAAAGACAGGGACCCTGATTAAGACAGCTACTGATCCTGTGGTGAGAGAACTCATGTCCAGGCATTAGCATAGCCCAGAGAAGAGCATGATAAATGCCATATAGTGTACATAATTGTTAGAGCTCAGAAGATGTAAAGCACTCAAGCTCTTTGCCAGATGAGATCTGCCTTCTCTTGTACCTCTTCCTGTCAACCAGAGGTTTGTAACTGTTGCTGCACATGAAAATCACTTGCAGAGTCTTAAAATGTCTTGATACTCAGGCCAAATCCAAGTCCTGTTAAAAAAAAATCTCTGGACATTGGACCCAGATATCAGTATTTCTTAAATCGGCTATTTCCATGTACAGCTGAAGTTGAGAACCATTGTTCTAAATATCCTCTTTTAAATCTCATTACCCAAACTTTATTATTACTTTCTGACATTACCATGGAAAGGGGCAGAAAAAAATAACTTCAGGGAAAATATTCACTTGTCTCATTTTTTTAACCACCCTTCATACAAATAAGCAAATAAACAAATAAGGACAAAGCAACAACAACAAAACTGTTCTCTTCTGTAAGTTCTTAAGATAGGGAATTAAAAAGTACCGAAAAAAGGAGAGATTCTGGTGATCGGTGGTGGGAGTAGCAGTAAAGTGGCAAGAAAAGCATTTCTCGGCCTGTGCTATAGTTTTGAGAGATTCAGGGAAGAAAGGTGATCATCTGCAGAAGGCGGGATTGAATGGGTTAAACTTATCCGGTTAGATGCAAATGTCTTGGACAAAGGAAATGGAATAGGTGGTTTGATTTATTTTCACAAAACCCTTAACGTTTATTCCAATAAATTTCACAATCTTAGATCAGTGGCCAAAGTATGTTTTAGGATTTGCAGCAACAAAACAACAAAACAAAACAAAACAAAACACAGTCGTAAATTAGGACTCAGACTCTGACCCTTAATGTGATGGATGGGTGTGGGAATTAGGGAACTACAACAAAAAGCCCCCAATTTGGCCACTGTTATGAAATTGTGAAATATGTTGGGATAGATACAGAAAGTCTAAGCTAAGTGAAACAACATAGAAGACATTTATTTTGAAGTGTTCTGTTTACACCCAGTGCCTGAAAACATTTTTACCATGTTCTTCCTTCATATTATTGATAGTGAGATGGACGAGGAAGCTGGGGACAGAACAGACCCAGGTCCCAACTCGGGTTCCTTTTTTACTGCTTCTGGGAACTTAGGTTATAGTTTAATTCTCTGGGCTTCAGATTCCTTATCAGAGAACTGGGGGATAATAGCTATTTCAAAAAGTTGTGAAATTGACATAAAAAGCAAATAATGTTGTGGAGGCTCTTAGTCATTTCCAGGCTTTTCCTTTCCTTGCATTCGCCTGTTGTTACTGCTGTCATCTCTACGGCCATTCAAATTCTTGCAGATGGAGGGAAGGTACAAATTTTATATGACGCCAATTTGCTAATGGTAAAAACTAAATTCTTGGGGAGGAGGTGGGAGCTGGATCGCCCAAATCTAAACATGATAGAGTCTTCTATCATGAAAAAACTTGCTCAAACCACTGGGGGCAACTGGTTGAATATTTTTGACCCTCTGTTTACTGACAAACGAGGTCTTACTATAGATTACAGGTGCTGAACTCAAAAGCTAGCAGGGCCCTTGCAGGTCTGAGGCTGGGGAAGGACTGGTAAACTGGAGAGTGAGCATGTGTGCTCTGCAAGGGGCAGCTCTCCTTACACGGTCTGACAATTAAGTTTGGGAACTTGTTGTACTGATGTTGCTAAGCTTTTTTGAGATCAGAGGGATTATTCATTATGAATTTGTACAACCTGGACAAATAGTTAACCAAGTTTGCCATTTGGAAGTGTTGAAAAGGCTGCGTGAAAAAGTTAGATGGCTGGAACTTTTTGCCAACAATTCATGGCTTTTGCATCACAACAATACACTTTCTCACATGGCACTGTCTGTGAGGGAGTTTTTAGCCAGTAAACAAATAACTATTGGAACACCCTCCCTACTCACCTGATCTGGCCCCTAATGACTTCTTTTTTTACCCAAAGACAAAGGAAATATTGAAAAGAAGACATTTTGATGACATTCAGGACATCAAGGGTAATATGATGACAGCTCTGGTGGCCATTCCAGAGAAAGAGTTCCAAAATTGCTGTGAAGGATGGACTTGGTGCTGGCATCAGTGCATAGCTTCCCAAGGGGAGTACTTGGAAGGTGGCCATAGTGATATTCAGCAGTGAGGTATGTAACACTTTTTCTAGGATGAGTCCACGAACTTAATTGTTAGAACTTCTTATGTTCAGCAGGTTGTTGCCATGAAGGCATTCAGGCTCCGTTGTTACCAGATTTCGTTTTTCAAGAAAAGTCAGGTCCACATTTAATGTAAAATCTTCCAGTTTTTAAGTACTGGTGACTAATTTCATTTTCTTTCAACATCATGTGGGCCAAACAAAACACACTAGATACAGCCTGTGTGCTACCAGTTTGCAACCTTTGGATTTTGAAGGTTCTCTTTACTTCCAAAGTCCTCTAATCTATGACCCCAAGAAGAATTGTCTCCATCTCCCACGAGAGTCTCACTCTGAAGATTAGAAATACACTCCTACCCCCACTTCCAGATAAGTGTTTCCTGTTAGTGTTTCGCCATCACTGACTAGTTTCACCTCCCAGGCAATTCTTATTCAAACAGTCTCTTGTTCCAAAGTTAAAATCAATTATATTCCTTGTTACTTGCTTAAGTACATAGACTTAATTTTCTACATGTTAATTTTATCTTTTTTAATACATCTGGTGACTGGTTTCAATTCCCCAGGGCCCAGTTTTATTTTGTGCCAACTCTTGGGAGGTAAAACTTTAATCAACTTTAACATTTGTAAAGTTGAGTATATTATAAAAATCTTGGAGAAACACAGCCTTTCAGCCCACCTGTTATGGACTGAATTGTGTCTCTCCAGAATTTATATAATAAGGCCTTAACCCCTAATGTGACTATATTGGGAGACAGGGCCCATAAGGAGGTAATTAAGGTTAAATTAAGTCACAAGTGTGGGGCCTATAGGACTGGCATCTTTATAGAAAGAGGGGTAGATACTAAAAGTGTGGGTGCACAGAGGAAAGGCCATGTGAGGACACAGTAAGAAGGTGGCCTTCTACAAGCCAGGAAGAGAACCCCCACCAGAAACCAGCCCTGCTGGCACTTTGGTCTTGGACTTCTCTGGCCTTTAGAACTGTGAGGAAATAAATTTCTGTTGTTTAAGCCACCCAATCTATGATATTCTGTTATGGCAGCACTAGCAAACTAACACCTATAACTAGCTTGATTTCTTTGGGCTTTTAGGTTTCCTAAAAATTCCAGCCATTCTCAGAGAAATCCCACTTTTAGAATTATCTTCCCATCAGGCTTTCTGCTCAAGATACTATGAAAATTTCTGTATTTCCAACCAAAAGAGTCCCCATTCTGAAAAGTATATGGAACTTTCTATATAATGGTAGAATACACACTATTAGTGACTCACCCATAAAACGTGAGATAAAGGAAACCAATTCTTTTTCCAAGTTTTAAAACTTCTCCTCGTTTGTCAGATGCTCCTGTGAGGCGCACTATGCCTACTTTCTTGAGGCTGGAGAGCCACATGTATGCATGTTTATCACTTCTTAACACATCTTCAAAGTCCAGAGTAGGTAGCTGGAGCTCTGAGCCCCAGTACTGACATTCTGTGAATTAAGAAAAATGAAAAAAAATGGATGGGATTACATTGTTTTTACATACAGTGATAATCTCACAGAAGAGACTGGAGTTGCCCTTTGACTTATCATGGAATTTACTAAATTTCAATCCTATCCCAAATGCCCAGGTTACTAGATTTTCTTCCCTGGAGCCATGCTAGTCTAATATATGCCTCCTGCCTACAACTGTGCCTGAACCATGGTTGGTATTCACTGTGCTAAATTTGTCAAGAGTATGTAGTTTAGTTTATAGATGGCTTTTGATCTGTATGTTCTTAGGGATTCTCTGCTTGGACACTGCTTAGAAATAACTTGGAGACTTTGTGTGTTTTAACAACTAAGTCATATTGTTCAAACCCAAGTAGATGATAAAATCAGACTGGTGGACTAGGACATCATATGCCCTTCCCTGAGGGTGGGCGGAGTGTTTGCCATGGTAGGTACAGTTCCTTCTTTTCTCTTACTTCACCCGATAAGATGCCTTCTCTGGGGTCAAATTGTTCTTTGGAGTCAGCAAAAGCTGGCCATGGGGAAGAAAAGATGAAATGTGTGGTCCTGGGGTGCAGAGACACCTTGGTGACAATGCCACAGGCGATAAAATCAACTGCCTTTCTTTGCTTTCTGGGTCCTTGTGATGAAACACTCATAACAATGTTTACGTGAAAAACAGAAAGGAAAACAAACGTAAAAATAATTTGCTTGCAAACTAGGCCCTCCAAAAGGAGGTGGGACATAGAGGAAATGTAATTGTGCCAGGAGAAATAACTCAGATTTTAACAACTACATTCAGGAAAGACCTAACTCTAACTAATTCATTAGATTTTTTCCAATTTTCAGGAAAGAACTGACCTTTGCAAGGCCACCTTCCTAACAAGTGACAGAATAAGATTCTATTATCTCAGTGTCTTCTGAACAATGCCTCACTTTTCTAACTGGGGACTATAGGTCATGTTACAGAAAAAAACCTTAACCTCTCCCCCTACCCGCACCCCCTCTGACCCCGTTTAAGAATGAGGAATGGGTCAGTGTCCTCTTGAAGTAGTTGTAGACTAGAAATCATATTCCCTCTGATGTTTTCATGACTGTTTTCTGCAGAAACAGGGGATCTCTTAGGAGTTAGCAGCTTTAGCAGTGAAAAGGTACGTGCAGTTGCAGGAAGTCACATCCTGCTCTTCTACCAGCTAGTTGCAATAAGGGCGTTGCAGAGGTGTGAGTAGGTATGTATATGTGGGAAGACCCAATCAGACTACAAATGCATATATTGCGAAAGTTTCTGGGTTATTAAGCCTAACAGCTAACATAATGAAGCAGAACCTCTGGGGCCTAATTTGCAAACTATACATTAGGTCTTCCTGTAGCTGCTTTAATTCTTCTGCACTATGTTAATGTTTTTTCATATTGAATACATTCCACAGACCCAAGTAACTTATTGTATCTTCTCCGGAAGTTGAGCTTATAGGAACTAGCCTCTGGTTCCTAATTTCTCGTTTTAATTCTTCTCTCTCTTTGGCTCTAACCAGAACTGAAAGAACAAGAGTCTTTTCCTGCTCTCTCTCTTTCTTTTTCTTTTTTAAAGCACTGCTTATCAAGTGTTTCTTAAATTTGAGAAAACTTTAGAATTTAATATCAGCTAAATCACTTTGGCAAAGAGAAGCAGCTCGGCACGTGGGCTGTATTATGCCAAAGCAAGTTGGCTAAAGCAGTAACAGACAATGATGTGTGAAGGTTTGGGGATAACGATCATACTTTTTTTGGGGGGGGAGGTGGTTTAACATATAGGTTCTTGTTATTTCTTGATTATATTAGCTACTCAATAATTATTTGTTTGTTTATCTTTTATTTTTTAAGCTGGGGAATTGGGGGAGGGGAACAGTATTGAAGAATTGGGGAAGGGGAACAGCCAAGTTGTTGTTCTTCAGTCTTAGTTGTGGAGGGCACCAGTCACCATCTGGCTGCCTGTTGGCAGCTTGTGGCCTCTAAGCTCAAGGTGCCGAGTTCAGTCTTAGTTGCGGGCGGGCATAGCCCACCATCGAACAGGCAGTCTTGTTGTTAGGAGCATGTGCTCTTACCAGCTGAGCCATCCTGTCACCTGTTGGCATCTCAGTGGCAGCTCAGCTCAGGCACAGCGTCACTGGCCCATGTGGGAATTGAACTGGCAGCCCTGTTGCTCAGAGCTCGTGCTCTTAAGCTAACTCTTAACCAACTGAGCCACTTGGCCAGCCCTCATTTATCTTTTTAAGAAGCCTAATATTTTACCATATCACAGGGCAGTGTGATAGCAGGTTTTAAGAAGCTCATAGTCTGTGGGAGAATTGGACATGGGAGCTGACAATTAAAACACAACTTGATAGATGAAGTATGAGGTATAGTTGAGGTAGGTTCAGGATATCATGGAGATATCAGATCTGATCTTTTATCTAATGATCCTTCTAGGATGCCAGCTACTCTTTTGCATGCATAAAATTCCCCAGTCTGTCCCTCATGCCTCAGCTCTTTCTTTGAAAATCAAACAGGATTGGTTTCATAGAAAAGAGCCTCTTCTAAAGATGCAATCTACTTGGCTTTGTTTTGAATGTTGGATTATGTGGTCCTTTGCTTTGCTTTCCCATTTGCTCTTTGCATTTAAAGTCTCCAGATTGTAATATCTGAAACCAATCCAAAAGGTCTGCAAAAAGAAGGTGATTAAAGTTGTAAATATTGCTTACTGGCTACCTAATTAGCAAAGCCATTTGGTTACCGGTGAGGAGAAAAAGTTTCCTGGGCAAAACATCGGTATTGAGGACATAAATCACAAATCAGCATCTCCTTCTTCCAGAGCTTACCCTAGGTAGGCTATATCTAGAAACCTAAAAAAAAAATAATTTTGTAACAGTTTTAAGCTTATTGACCCCAAATGAAAATCACAGTCCCATAGAGCATTACAGGTGAATGTGAGTTAGAGATTCATCTGCCATTTTCACGTTGGCCTTATGATTTCTCATTGCCGTTAGTTCTTACTGTTGAATAAAAAGATTGTCTAAACCGCAGTTGAGGATTGTCCTAGTCCTTGGACACTGGGATGAGCTGGGTGAGGACAGGTTTTTCCCTTCCTGTGTAGACTATTAGATTAGTATTGTCTGCATGGCCATCTATAGCAAATGATGTTAAGTATGATGAACCTGCATTCTAATATTTAGAAGAAAATCTTATGTCCTATTGTGAACAAACCAGCCTGGACTGTTAGCATGGCCTAGGCTGCAGGATTGTCAAATGCAACTTCTGAGATGATGGACATATTCTATATCCACATAGTCCAGTACCATAGCTACTAGCAACATATGGCTACTGAGACTTGACATGTGGCAAGTGGATCTGAGGAACTAAATTTTTTACTTTACTTAATATCAACTAATTGAAACTTAAATTTAAATAGCCACATGTGATGGTACTGTATGAGACAGGTCATGAATACAGTATGGAGGCGAAGAGGCCTGGGCTTAAATCATTGTCTGCCCCTTACCAGCTAGCTTCTGGGTCTCTTCTCTGAGTCTCTGGCTCTTAACTTATGAAATAGCCATAATTGTATCTGCCTCGCAGGTCTTTTGTTGACTATGCAATGATATTATACAAGGAGCATAGTACAGTGCTTGGCACATAGTAGACTAATAATGATAATAATAGTACTAGCTAATACTTGCTGAGTAGTTTCTCGGTGTTGAGAACAGTACTAGGTGCTTCCCATATGTTATTTCTTTTAATGTCCACAATAAATATACACAATAGATACTTTAATTATCCCCATGTTATAGAGGAGAAAACAGATCCAAGTCATGTAGCTAATGATTTGCAGAGCTAGTTTCTCAAATCCAGACGGATTCCAAAGTCTGTAATTTTAACAATTACACGTCAAATAAACATTTAAAGCCTTGAAATACTGTCATCACATGTATTTTTATGTCCTATGTCTGAATGTCCATAACATGTTCTGTCTCCTAGGAAAGAAATCTACTAGATAAAAAAGAAAGCAGGGCAACCTGCAGTGAGGAACACTTTGTCTGAACTTGCTCAAGCATGGGTGTTTAAAGATAAACCTTGGCTCCTAGTCAGGATTTTAAATGCAGAAAAAACATTATGAGTAGGTTCCAGTGCATAACACTACAACATTGCTATTCACCTTTTGTGCAATGAACCATGGCTTAAAAATCAGCTAGCTTCGCCTCTTTAATTTATGCCATGTATTTCAGTGACCCGTGTCAGTCTGGTTTCACTTCAGGCCACTGTCACTTTCCAGAGAGTTTTGGTGACTGTGTGGCAAGGAAATATAATGAAGAGAGATTGAAAAACCATTTTCACTAAATGTAAATGTTTTTAAAACTTTGAGTTTGTATTTTGACTACTTTGTGGATTCCAAAAGCATTTGTTTAGAACACACACTATATACATACATTTATAGCATGTTTCAGTGAATTTTGTTTCTACAGGAGTCACTTTCCCATTAGAGAATAACCCCCCACACACACACACACACACATGCTCTCAAACATGCTTGCACACACACAATACCCTCTGGTTTAAAAATACAAAATGAGTTAGATTCTTTCAGTAAACATGTTATATTGTTACATTTCACATATATAAAATTAACCATGTTCACACAAAGATACTCCAGTGTAAATCAAGGCTATCAATACCATAGGCAGCATTTAATGAACTATAAATAATTCAGATCTACCGGATTTTACTATCAGAGTGTGGTTACAAAGATTTTTAAGGTCTGCAAATTTTCCAACTTTCCAATGATAGCTCTGATTTTGGTGTGCCCTGGCCAAAGCTTTGCAGAAATCAAGGAGCAAAGGCCACAGCCCACTGCAGAACCGGTGTCCTAATATGATCCACTCATTTAGGTTTTGCTAAGTGTGACTTTCCGAGACAGCACTGTGACTAACCAGTTTCCAGGTTTATCATAACATCCCGAATATAAAACACTCTAATCTTCATGAGAAATAAAC